ATAATCTATTAATAAAATCAACAGCTGTTTGGAAAGAGGAAAAAAGTCATGAATTTCTTATAAATCTAATCAAGAAGAAAGGAAAGGAAAATAGAAACGCCAGCAAAGTCACAAAGGAATCATAGCTGGTGCGGAGGAGGCCGAGATCATTAGAAGATGCCATGTTTTGCAATACTGAGATTTATCCCCTCCATATTCCCAGGGGCCCCCAGCAACCCACACCATGAAGACACAGTTAAGGAGGGACAGTTAAGTGAGGGACAGTTAAGATGCAATTTTTAGTGTAGGCGCTCAGCTAGTGTGGCTCGTGTCTCCCTGGCAAGAAGACGCGGGGATGGACAGCTGCATGAGAAAGGGAGAACTGTGTGAAGAAAAGGGGATGGTGGCCATGGGCAAGGCATGGAGATCAAGGGTCCTGGAACAGACCCTTCCCCCACCCCCCAGGGGAATTAGCTGGGTGACACTGTGCTTGTCATTCCCGAGCGTCTGTTGCTCAAGCCCCTCTGTGACTCCTGTTCGCACCTGGTCTAGAGAAATAACTCTTTCATCTCAATGTATTTGTATTTTTGGTCTCAATTATTGTTGGAGATGGGGGTCTCTGTAGGCCCATATTTCTATATGGTATGGCAGTCAGACTATCAAGGCATAGGCCCTACCTGAGGTGGTCACGTACCCTTCCAGACAGGCTGTTGCTAACCTAACAAAAGGTCAGGATGTTGTTTTGCTCCTTTCTTTGTAATTTGGAGGGTGCCTGATAGAGATGTTAATTCAAACGTATGTGACAGCTAGCATACACAGCAGACAGGTAGTTGTGGACGTGACTAAAAGTCATTTACCTGGTTACCTAGGAGACAGAAAGCTAATGTATTTACCCCCAGTTTATGTTTTGATATATAAGGCTGTTTGGAGAATAAGGCAAGAAATTCTTCAGGATGTGAACTCAGGACTTCATGAGGGATCAGGGAGAATCTCCCTCCCGATAAAGCCATGTGAGTTGTGTCTTTATACCCGCGCCTCCATGCTGGTCAAGAGAGAGAGTTTATAGTTGGGGTCTGGTCACGAGAAATAATTTATGGTCCAGACTAGCACCGGACTCACTGTGTAGCTCTGACTTTCCTAGAACTCCCCTATGTAGATCATACTGGTCTTGAACTCATAGAAATCCTCCTACTTCTGCCTCTTGAGTACCTGCATTAAAGGCTTGTGCCACCACACCCAGCTCAGTCTTTCTAACTTTTTGATTAATTTATTTTTAGTTTCATGTGTATGTGTTTGTGTGTGTGTGTCTCTGTGTGTGTGTGTGTATGTGTAGGTACCAAACTCATACAAAGCAGTGTGTGTTCTCACCCTTTGAGTCACCTCCCCAGCCCCGACATGCTTTTAGTCTTATGGAGAAAAAGCAGTCCTTACTTTGTCGTAGCTGAAGATAGCGCTGGCTCTGCCAGAAGGATGGACACTCAAACCCCTCAGATTTTCTTTCACATGCTGCGTTTTGAAACCATCTGAATGTAACCAAGGGAGATAGAACTTCCTTTCCCTCAATTCCTGGCATTTTCCTGCCTAGGAGGCCTTGAGAATCCACAGTCATGTAGCTTACTATTTAAAAGTGGAGTTGGAGGGGCTGGAGAGATGGCCCAGTGGTTAAGGGCACCTATTGCTCTCTCGGTGGGCAAGAGTCAGGATCTCAGCACCCAAGTACTACGGCCCACAACTACCTGTACCTCATGCGCACGCACCCCTCTGCCCACGTATATACATAATTTAAAACAATAAAGTGAATCTTTAAGAACAGATTTTGATAAGGGAAGAGGCACAACTGTAGGCCAAGCAAATGGGAAGCTCAGAATCCACTGGAAAACAGGGAACCTCTTCTAGGTTGGAGAGAAGCAGCCTCCTTGGCGGCTGGGCGCCTCCTGGAGTCACAGGTTTTTCCATCAGTGGGTTTTGTTGTTTTGCTTCCTTAAAGCCAAGTGTGAGAATAAATGCCTGTCTAAGAAAAAGAACTCTTTGTTCTCCAAAGCAGACACTCCCGGAGAAACTCGAGCGCTAATATAATACCTGCACATGGCCATTCAACCCCAGGGGCATGTTGGTCCTCATTTCCTTTGCTCTTATGACCTGCCGAGTGGAGCCAACTTGCTGTGACCAACTACACTGGTGATCAAGACAGCGGCCACTCATACCAAGATTTCCAAGCTAGAAGGAGCGTGGGAATACCTGGCACAGAGAAAAGCACCTCCCCACTGGCAGATGCAATCCTCAAATCAGGTCTAGGTCAGATCTTGGAAATTATGGACCTTGTGGTACTTAAAGCCTGTGGGTGTGTGTGAGTCAGAAAAAAGACACTGAGAATGACCAGACATATTTTTAACTGTCTCCACAAGTTTGCTGTGACCCTCCCAAATTGCATGAGTGAAACTGATCTGGAAGAATTCTGTTGTTCAAAGCAAACAGAAACAGCACATTCAGTAAGGATAGCTGGGGTTTGCGGTCAAGAAGACCCGACCAAGGCTTGGCTCGCCTCTTCCTGGTTAACCTTAAGAACATAGATCACCTGGATTGCATCAGGGCTGTGGGGGTCATTATGCATCACGTCTACTTCTGAGAGGTTCTGTTATACAGGGCCATTCTTTTACATCTCCTGCCATGCCTGGCACTTAAGAGCTTAACAAACATTAGGGATGCAAAAGTCTGGCGCTGGCAGCTGGGTACCCGTTCCTTCTGTTCTTTCTCGTTCTGGCGTGTGTGTGTGTGTGTGTGTGTGTGTGTGTGTGTGTGTGTGTGAGAGAGAGAGAGAGAGAGAGAGAGAGAGAGAGAGAGAGCGAGCACAAGTACCTGTGGTGCCAGGCATGGCAGAAATGAAGACTCACTTGTGCCCTTCAATCTGGCCATCAGATTGTTGAAACAGTGGGCCCCAAAGAAATAAGGATTTCCCTGGAAATTCTGGAAGGAAGAGCTTGTCCGATCACCTTACAGGATGAGTCTGAAGTCCAGGCAATGATGGGTTAATGGTGGGCAGCACCGTAGCTTGGACAGGACTGCTCGGATGTGAATATGCTTAGCCATCCAGTTTAATCTCACTTCTGGACCTAGAAGATGGACTTGGAGTGGTCACTGTATCTTTGTCCCACTTGTCATTGTAGCCACACTGGATCGATCTCCTTTTCCTGCTTCCCACTTTTAACCCGACTCTTTTGATCAAATTATGGAACCAAGACAGATTTACACAAAAGAAAGCTGTGAACTAATAGTTTGACCTTTGGCATTGGCTTGGTCTGGGATCCTAGCGGGCAACACATTGGGGCTGGACATGGAAGAGTAGACTGGAGAATCCTCTTCATACCTCATGGCCAGAGAGCCAAAGACAGAAAGAAGAGGCACTCAGGTTTCACTACCCCTTTGCATGCTCCCTATGACCTAAGGTAGTCCCGTGAGATTCCTACATATTCTAGTACACCTCCCAGTAACACCATCCTGGGAACCAAAAATTCCATGCCTAGATCTCTGGGGAACATCAACATCCAATATCCAAGCCACAGAAGTGGCAAAATTCATCTCAGAAATCTCCATGGGCTGACCCGGTGAGCTAATTCACAAGATGAAACTCAATAGGGCCACCTCTATGAGGCTGGACAGGTACCCATGAGGTCATCACAGTGGTGAGAGTTGACCCTGCAGAGATGGCTTTGACAGCATTCTGGGTGAGAAAGACCGGCATCCCTGTCAAAACGTCCTGTAGGGATGAAAGATATGATGTAAATATCGGTCAATCTAATAAGGACAAAGAAGCAAGTCACCAGAGAGAAGGAGATAATGGCCTGCTCATGCCCACACCTGCACCCCACAGCAGGTCTGACGCCATGTTTGATGAACGAAATGAGGTGACTGGAGCATGCATGCTCAGTAGTGAAAACTGCAAACCTTTTCCCATGAAAAGGCACCAGCTCCTGGGGTGTAATGGTTAACCCTTTGGACTCTGTATCCAGCAATCCACGTCTGTTTTTCAGTGGAACCTATTCCTCGAGGGAGAGACCTGGCCAGCCATCCCCATGAACTCAGACCATGTAACCCAGCATCAACAGGCTGCCCATGCATGCTTTAGCCTTGCCGGGGTCATGTTTTATTTTCACACATGGAGTTTGGCAAAGCAAGGGAAGGCATGACCTCTTGAGAAGATGACTTAGGCCACAGCAGCTCCCGCAAATGACGTGAGGAGGAAGCAAACCAGTTCCGTCTGACCTGACATCCGGAGAGGTGGAGGCAGCAGACGATAGCTACAGGGGCATAGATTTTAGTGCGGCAGGAAAGTTTTCAGTGATCAGATATGAACTAGCATCTCCTGTAATTCTCGCAGTCACGGCCTGGCAGGCCCTTCCGCGACCCACTTCGGAAAGTTTTCAACAGCTAATCACATTCATTAGGTTGACACTCTTGACAGAAGGCGTGATCCAAACCTGAATGCGGGGGGCCATGCTGTGTTTAATGCAGTCTGGGGTTTCAGACCACATCACACCAAGAGCAGAAGAGCTGGGAGATGACTCCAGCGGTGCAGCGCTTGCTGCCCAAGCAGGAAGTGTCAGTTCAATCCCCAGAACCCCCATAGAAAAAAGCGCCAAGGGTCACCTGCTTCCCGTCTCCACTCTGTAGCAGTAAATAAGGCAGGTCCCCAGGCCAGCGAGTCTCGTCTAATCCACAAACTCCAGGCCAAGAAAAAGGATAAAAAAAAATCTGAAGTCTATCAAAAACAAAACAAAACAAAACAAAACAAAAAAAAAACAAAACCAGATGGCTCTCAAGGTTTCCTCTGCCTTCCACACCCTTACCCCCCACACATAAACAAACCCCACTCCATGCACACACAAGCAAAAAGCAACAGAAAACCCAAAACAAAGAACGGAAACTCCAGAGGCGCTTGTGTTCACGAGGGGTGCTGGCACATGGACGCTAACGGAAGAATTAGGAAATGATTCATGGTACTTATTTTAATAGCTTCTTTTAAAACGTAGAAATATGGTTGACAATAAAAAAAAATGTTCCTATGTCATTTGGAAACGTAATTTACTTAGCTTGTTTTGTTCTCTACCCTCCAGTCTCCCACCAGGGCCACGGCAGGAAGCTCAGGTACAGAAGCCGTCTGCATCTGCTCGGCAGTGGCCAGTCCATTCCCACCTGAAGAATTCTACTTATAGAGTCTTTGAGGGCAGCATTTTTCTTCCAGAGAGCAAGTGGGCTCAGTAGTAGGTCACTGGAACATAGCCATGGGCTGTTCGTTCCAACTTTTTCAACAGCATGGAATCTTTGGTCTCAAACAAACAAACCAACAAACAAAAACAGTTATAAAAATATTCCTAGTCCTTCTTTCAAATCTAACTCTTAAATGTGGTTTCTTTGGGGACAATGCTACTCATGCATTTATGAACATAGGCTCAGGAGAGATGAATCCAAACCATGGACAAACTCTAAACAACGAAGTGCCTTTTCCGTTGCTTCCGTAAAGTCCTGATGTCATCAAGAGGCCACCGGCGGCACTGGAGATGTGACTCGATGGGAGAATGTGAACTTAGCGTACACAAAGCCTTCCTTTGGCTCCACAGAGCTATGCAGAGAGAGCATGTGTATTCTATTATTCTCACGGCTCAAACAAATACAAATGGGTAAGCAAACAGAGTGCACTATTGCTTTCACAGCCAAAGGAAATGAGAAAAGTATGGCTTTAAAAACTCCTGGCCCACCAGATTTCAGCACGCTTTTATGAGCGGTAGCCATCACCTGAGTGCCTGTGCATTTAGCCCCAGGAGTGTGGGTCGCTAAACTAAACACAGTGACTGAGCGGCGGTCCATTATGCAGCTAAACGCCACACAAAGTCTGCCTGGACTGGTCCTTAGGATAGCATCGTCTAGAAACAGCGCATTATGTGAATGCAAAAGCAGGGCTTCCGTGGGATTATGTCCTGGACACCAGTCAGATTAAAACAGACAACCGAGGACTCTGCAAAGCCAGAATCAGTCACGAGAAAATGTGGGCTTCAAAAACATTCTCTCAAGATTGTGATAAAATGCGCTGTCGTTGCTAAATGGCCATGAAGACCCCACTCTCAACTTGTGAGGGGGACAGTGTCTAACCTATCAGACGACTAGAGCTGGACCTACCTGCGAATAAGTAGGGCACCTGCAGGCCAAGGAAGCGCGTGGGTCGCTTCCACAGATACAGCTCACAAGAGGACCCCTTGGCCATTTCCCAAGTCTACCAATTGTAATTGAAATGGACATACAAATTCACAAACGTATCACTTGCCTGTGGGTAAGAACTGGCTGAGGAGGCTACCTCTCAGGTAAAAAAGGGGAGTCATGGGGACATGACAAAATTTAACATCATCCTCAAACAATTAAAAGAGGCAGTACCTCCCCACAGGTCCCTATTACATTCTGCTGCCTTATCAAAACCTAAGGTAGCGGAATGCAGCTACAGACCTTTGCGCGGTTTAACTTTAACTGCAGTGGTTGTGTGAGGTGCATGCTGAGATGTTGTTCTGAGTCATTTGATGGCTTCCAGCTTTGAGTGTCCCCAAGGAGAAGAAAGAATCCTACCGCAGGCCCAGGCCGTGGTTCAGGCCACGCAACATCTGTGGAGAGGAAGGATGTCATGTGGAATTTAGAACAAACCCTAAAGGGAGAGTCTCCCTATCCATCCCCAAGATTGTGGAGCTGTCTACAATAATGATGTGCCCGCTGAAACCCAAATCTCGACAGAGCCTTGGAACCTGATTTTGACTCCCTGGCATGTATCGCCAGGTGGCCATTCAGCCAGAAGTGAACAACATGAGCTGGATTCTGTCGGACCCACCAATTAGGAATTCCAAAGGGTTCATAAACAATCAATTATATGAAAGAAGTGAAGCAGAGTGTAGCAACAGGCGTGGGACCAAGAATTCCGTTTTTAAACTACAGCTGAAGGATGCGAGCTCAGTCCCAAAGTGGCCTGTACAACTTCCTCTTTTGCTTGCCGGAGCCAAATCGATCTTTCATGTCTTTGCTCTGCCCGTGTTACTTCCCAAGCCACCCGGGAGCTGTTTCTCGATGCTGTAGCTATTTCTACATTTGTTTTGTTTTGCAGTGCTGCCTAGCACCTGCCGTTGTATTTTTAAAACTACAGAATTTCTGTCTGGAAAATGAAGTATTCATGGAGGCGTGTGCCGTGCTGTGACTTTCAACGTGATTTGGGGCCCAGGAGAAAGGGACATTATCCTGAAAGTTGTAGTCCTTCAAGACTTAGAAAATCCATATTTGTGTGTTGAGCATTTTCCCTGCGTAAGGAACAGAAACTCCGTCCAAAATACCACCGCACTTGCTGTCATAGTGGCGTTTCCTTGCTCTGAAGCCATCTCTTCTCTGTCACTGTGTCCCAGATCTCCAAACTGGCTCAGGTCTAGGAAAGGGGATAAAGAAAGAGACTTTCTGTTTGGTGACATCACCCTTAGGTCCTGGTTGTCCGCACTGTGGGTCAGGTGGAGCAGGAAGCTGCTGGCTACCCATCCACCTCTCCCCTGGAGACCTCATGTTTTATTAACTCTAACACTCCGGCAGGTCCAGTCTCTTGCGGCTACCTGACCTTGCCGCTCACCACTGCACTTACCTGTTTCTAATGATGAAGCACCCCCTCCCCTCCAACCATTAACGTTCCGCAGCGTGAACCAAAACCCTTTCCTTGAGATCATGGCTAGAACTTGAAAAAAAAAATCCAATAATAAAATCAAGACTTTGTTTAGCCCAACCATACAAATGTATGTGGCACGATTCCAAATGAGAAAATGTAATGAAGGGGTAGAAAATTAGATATCGCTCCCTGTAGGTAGACAGATTTCCAACCTAAGGAGCGAGTCACGGTCGCTTGTAAACGGAACGTGTCTCTGGGTCGTGGAGATGGGAAATGGGGATGGATGAGGACATTTACATGTTTTGGTATCAAATGAACGTTTTCATCAGGAGTCTAAGTTACTTTTAAATAAATGGCTGTGGTATTACTATCAGGCACAAGAAGAAAGAGACAGAAATCATTTGAAGTATTTAATCAGCAGGCTGGAGCCTGACATGGCACTTCCTCCCTCTCCCCCCACCCCTACTGTTTTTTTGCTGTCATTGCATCTAATGTTTTTATTCTCAAGTGACAGAGCAGCTGCCACAGCCCTGAGGTTTCTACCATTGTGACACACTGTCTAGGAAGCAAGCACGGAGCTGTTTGGTCAGGACAGCGTCATTCCCGTTAGTTAGGTAGTTAGTATCTCCCCTTGTGTTCCATTGGTAGCTTGTATAGCAAGGATGGTATTTAGTTACGTGTCCATTAACATGTACCTGGGCTTCAGAGTCCACTTAGCCAGTGGCTGACCACCTTGGAGGCTGTCTTTGTCTTGTAAGCCTGTGAAATGAAGCTTCCTAAATGTGTGACCTGCACATCAATTATCACTTCCCACTTCTGGAGATGCAGTGTATCCAGGATGGAGGCAACAACGTGAAATGTCCTCTATCCCTCTCTCTCCTCCCTCTTTCTTTTTTCTGCCTTTCTTGAGCATGTTGTGTGTGTGATGCGTGCGTGTGTTTAAGCTCACGTATGTGAGAGTGGGTGCTTGCTTGCCACGGCGCAGGTTTGGAGAGCAGAGGGAATCCACCTTTCTTTCCTTCTTGCACACTTATGACTTCTCTTTTTAGATTTGTTTGTTTTTACATGTATGCAAGTTTTGCCTGATGCATGCATGAACACCACGTGTATGCAGTGCCTGCAGAAGCCAGAGGAGAATACTAGATCCCTTGGAACTGAAGTTACAGATGGTTGTGAGCCTCCATGTGGATGCTGGGCATTGAACCCAGGTCCTCTGCAAGAGCAGCTCTTAACCACAGAGCCATCTCTAGCTCTCCAGCCTCTTTTTTGTTTTTTTTTTTGAATGAAGATGCCATTTGTGTTGGATTATAGTCCATTCTAGCAGAACCTCATCTTAGTCATATCTAAAACTATTCTAGCTCCAAATAAGGTGCTGGAGCTTAGGATTTCTGTGTATGAATTTGGAAGGTCACTAGTCAACTCATAGAACATGCCCAACACAGCCATCTAAAATCCCTTTTACATTATGCTAATGCCTGGGTTCTCCTCCAGGCCGATGACGACAGACTCTCCTGCAAAGGGTCTGGGGCAATATGGATATTTCCATGCCTCTCGACACGAGGTTAATGTGCAGCGTGGGCCTAGCTAGGCTGAGTCTCAGAGCTGAGGTGTTGGGGAACCAGCTCCCCAAGAGGTCCATGCAGGAAACCGTGAAGAGAGAGAAAACCCAAACACACACTGGGAAGGGATGCTGGAAGGCAATCAATCAATAGTATCTACTTCTGATGTTTTATTTCATCTGTCAGTTTGACTGGACCCACGGACACCCAGACAGTTGGTAAAACATTATTTCTGCCTGTGCCTTAAGTGTGCTTCTGAAAGGGGCTACAAACTGGTGGGCTGTGGGGTGGGGTGAGGTAGCTCAATCCTCCAAGTGCCCAGATAGAACCAAATGATGGGGGAAGCATGGGTTGTCTTTCTAGAACTGGGAAAATTTTCCATTCTTGGACTTCAGAGCTCCAGTCTCTACTACCGTTGGTCTCTGGGATTCAATTCACTGGCCCCTTAGAGACTCAGACCCAGACTCAATTGAATTTTACCTTGTCTTTCCTGGATCTCCAGTTCGGAAACAGAAGACCATGAAGCCTCTTAGCCTTATGACCACATGACTTAAAAATTACAATAAATGGCCTCCTCGTGCTGATTATTATTTTTATCAGTTCTGGTTTTGTTTTCTTTCTGTCATCTCACGCTGCTGTGAAGCCCATCTGGTGGCCTTCTCACTTCAGTTATTGCACCGGAAACTGCAAACTGTCTCTTGGTGTCCTCTCTCAAGTCCCCATTTCTCCACAGATGTTCGCTGCTTGGGAAATGTTGCTCTGACACTTGTCCAACTCCTTGACTATGGTTTCTTGTAGTACTTTGAATATATTTAATGCTTGTTTATTTGAAGTATGTTTCTAATAAGGCTAGGCTTCTCTGGGAATGGCTTCTAGTGATACCTGTTTCCCCTATATGCATGCATTATCTTCCTGAATTTCTTTTCATGTTTCGTGTGTGTGTGTGTGTGTGTGTGTGTGTGTGTGTGTGTGTGTGTAAAAACAAACATTTGATAAACTTGGGATGTGAGATCTCTCCTGTCCTGGGGTTTCATGTCACGGCTGCTTGTTTGTGTGTGGGGGGGTGTGGGAGGTTCATTCTTCCAAGTCTCTGCTCTCTGTCATGTGACCGCTGAGATCTCTGTTTCATTAGCTTGATGGTCAGTTAAGAATCCAAAGGACAACTCCTCACACACGCTGACCTCACCCTTTTAGGAGACTTGTGTATACATTAAGGAATGTCCATATTCCAGCACATTCTCAGAACTCCATCCAGGCCATCACTTATTGCCTGCCCAGAGACTCCAGTGCCTGTGTCTCCAGCTCCATGGGATCCAATGCTTGGGTTTTTTTTTGTTTTTTGTTTTTTGGTTTTTGGTTTTCTTCAGGCACCTACACTCATGTGCACACTGCTACACAAAGACAAACACCCATACACATAACTGAAAATAAAATAAAATAAATCTTATTTTTAAAAGAGAGAGAGATTGCCAGTCCTTTCTTCTGTCCAAATGCCTTTTCCCCTTAGGCGGCTGCGGTTGTTTTTGAAATATGCCTCAGGTATGAAGCTGTTTGCACAGAACCAATTTTGAGGGAGATCAAATAAAGACAGCCGAGAAAAGAGCTTTGAAGGGAGCTGCCAATCAGGTCAAGTGGAGACAATCCTGTGAGACGGGGCTTGGGGTTTGGGGCTTGGGGGAGCTCAGAGGCATTCACACTTTCCTGGGGCTGCGAGGCAAATAGTTTTCAGCTATCACAGTTTGGCTCTCAAGGCCACAGGGAAGCAGGGAAAGGGCTGCTGGGATTAAGGAAGTGAAAACCATTAGGCTCCCCAGTTCACCCACATGCTGATGCTTGACTCCACCACAAGCCCCTGGTGGTTTTTCAGTGCCTTGGTTAATTCCAGACTTCGGGAAAAATAAATTTTGTTGTTTTCGTGCATGTTCTGGCTGCTTTTCTAGAGGATCAACTTTTCCTAAGTCCTCAGCTCGCCATTCTGAGCTGGATCCATTAATTTAGTGCTAAAAAACTGAACCGGAAAGCCATCCTCCTCGGCTTACGCTTCAAGGATTTTGGTTGCTTTTTCAATTACTTCCATAATTTATTAATTAGCTTTTGCAAGTGGAGATCATCTCTGTTCTTGATTGCACATCAAAGAAAGAGCTTTCCTTCGAGGCTAGGTCAGAATGGATGGGGAGACAGAGGAAGGCATGTCAATCTTAGCAGTTCCAGACACATTTGCGAGCTGGCAAGAGAAGGAGCAAATGCCACAGGAAATGCAAAGTGTACAGCACTGTTGTGTGTGCAGAAAAGTTAGGGCTTTATTTGAATAAAACAGCCAGTACTAAAGAGAAAGAAAAAAGAAAGGAAGGAAAGAAGGAAGGAAGGAAGGAAGGAAGAAAACTCTGTGTTTAGGAAGCACGCTGACAATGAATCTAAATAATTCAAGCTGAACTTTTTCCCTTTATGGGGCTGAAAAGACGGCTCAGCAGTTAAGAGCGCTGGCTGCTCTTGCACAGCCTGGCACCCGTGTGACAGCTCACAGCCGTCTGTACCTCCAATTCCAGAGGGTCTGATGTCCTATACTGTCCTCCACAGGTTCATACACACTGGTGATGCACACACACACACTACACACACACACACAGTTGCACATAAAGTAAAATTATAAAAATGTCCTCCAGTTTCTACCCCCTAGTCTGTCCTTGCTTCCTTCTTTCTACCCTTGCCTTCTTTTCCCACTCTCTTCATCCATGGGCTACCTAGACATCACTAGCTCCATTGAAATTTTATACAACTTTATTTTATTTACGTTTCTCAGTGCTTGAACCCAAACTCAGGCATTGTGTATGTCAGACTAATCTCTACTTCTGAATCGTGTCCCAATATCTTGCTATAAATTGTTTAGATTCACTGTCCTATGACTAATGCTTCAATTTATGCGTTAATCCAATCATGCAAATTGATTTGGACTTTCAATAGTCAATTTGTCCTTCAAGTAAGATTTAGGTTTTATGTTGCCAGTCTTAAAATCTTTATCTTTAGAAGATCCCTGAAAATGATATATTATGATCAAACAATAATGAGAATGAAAGAGAAAAAACTTAAAAGCTTAAGATTAGAATAGACTCACTCCTTTAGAAAATACATTGAAAGTCTGTGATGCACGGACCTGGGGTAGGAATGAGGAATTACAGAATAAATTAGATGAAGAAGAAAATGAGGGCAGAAATA